TTCCCACCTCTGGGGAGCAGCACAGTGACCCCCCACACACACACCACCATGTCTCCAGGGCTGCTGTTTGTGGCCTGTGTAGGCACCTGAATGGGCAAGCTGTGGGTCTGCACTGGGGCTGGGGTGATGAGGACCCAGCGTGTGACTGGTGAGGAGGTCACAGCTAAAGTTCAGCTCCAAGGTTTGGGTCCACCTCAGGTTCAGCTGACCCGTGGTGTGATGGGTCCCTCTTCCCACTGAGCTGTGACATTCTTCCCACCCTGGTGGAGTGCAGGGAGACCATCACACATCCAACAATTTGTTAGCAAACAGCAAATTACCAATTTTCCAAATTGTGCTGAGAGGACCTTCCATGTTATTTAAGTGAATTTCTAAACTTAGCCCAGTTAGTGTAAAAAATACCTTTGCGAGAAACTACCATCCACAGCACTTGACTTCAGAGACATTTATTTCTAGAGCTGGTGGAAAAATCTCTCACCTTTCAAAGGCTCCAGTTATATCCTGGTGCTGGCTGGAGCCAGTGGCCTTCAGAGCTCCCTCCCAGGCAGACTCTGGCTGATGGTGGGATCGCAGTGCCGTGGGAAATGGGGGGAGTGGTGAGGGGCTGACACCCACCTATTGACCAGGGAATTCATGTAGGATCATGTTAGCCTTGATGGACACCTCAGTTAACACCCCAAAACTAGTGGTCTTTACTTCATGACACTAAAGCATTAGTCTTCCAGTGTTTTCAGCCAGGGTTCTGCTGGTACTAAAGGCTCCCAGGACTTTTCCAGTACCTCTTTCTCAAGGCTCATCTTGGTTCCAGAAAGGTATTCAGCAATTACAAGAGTCTGGTCCTAATTAGCAAGAAGGATGACTCTGAATTCCTCAGACTTCAGGAGTGATCTCATTTGTGTTACAGCTCAACAACCTGTTTCATTCCCAGGAGATCACAAATCAATGTACAGGAGCTCAGCCCGGGTTTTCTCACATCAGAAGGTACAGAGATCAAATTTTGTGGCTGCTAAGCCAGAAGGAAGATCTCCTTTTCATGATGCATTAGGAGAAACCAAGCTCTGGATGTGTTAGACTTCTACAGTGCTCCAGAAACGCAAAAATCCATAAAAAGCCTCACTCTCCTTCCCTACCAGGGTGGGCACCAGCATAGCTGGAGCTCTTGGTGGTATTTTGAGGTGGGATTGGGGTGAATTAACAACTTTTAGTGAAAATGGAAAATAAGCCTTTCTGTCTGTTCACAGGAGGGAAATATTTTACTGCAGCAACGGAGTTTGTGTATTACCTGAGAAAAGTTTTGCTCAGACAGAATTTTGGTTTTGTTTTACTTTACCCCAAGTAAAGAAAAAAGTAAAGATTCCCTGCTGTGGAAATCCACGTCAACCTCCTCCAGGCATCAGGATGCTCAGACAGCACCGAAGACTCTGACCCTCAGCAAAGGGCAAAGCCCTGCTCAGTCCTGTGTGGGCTTATGACACTGTCTGCCACCTTGACACGAGATGGGTGATGCCCAAAGCCAGCAGATGGGACAAACAAACATGAGAGAGAAATCCTGCCAGCCCCATTATGGGCTTATTCTGGAGTGAGCTGCTGTGTCTGTCGGTCATAAAAGCATCAGTGGGCGTCTCTGCCAAGAGAGTGCTTGAACCCAGTGATTTATCTCTTTTGTTCCCCCCCTCCAGTGCTCATTAAAACGGGAATTTGCCGGTGCTGCTGCTGTATCCAGCTGAATGCGTGTGCTTCTTGGCTCCCAGCGAGGTCCTCGCTGCAGATACCGTGTGCTTTGGCAGCTGGGCCAGTCTGGGCTGCAGGATATTACGCCTGGCAGGGACACAAACCCCTTCCAGTTCCTGGAATTTGGATTGTCTCGCGGAGTGCTGATTAAGCAGTGCTTTCAACCTGCACCCAAGACGAAACCCTCGCCTTGCCCCTGCGCAGAGCCTCGGCTGCTGCGTGGCACTGGGAGCTGTGCTGGGTTCGCTCTCCCCGAGCCCCAGGGAGACAAAAAACTCCAAAAAAAAATCCCAGAGGAAAAGCTTTGCAGTTCCCAGGGCTGGATGAGCATTTGCTGCTCAAGGCTCTGTCTTTTGTGAAATAATAAATCCCTAGAAAGCCACCCTCTCCACGACACAGCCCCAAGAGCCCTGCCTGCCTCGGTGTGCACTTGGCAGTGGCTGCACCTCCCAGTCTGCCCAGTTCAGGCATTCACTGCTGCATGTCCTCATCTGCCTTTTTAATCTGCTGGGAATGAAACTGCCTTGACCAGCCTCACTAATGAGAGATTTGATAGCTGGGGTTGAGCAGAGGGAGGCAGCCCCAGTGTGTGCCACCCTGTGCAGCACCAAGGGCTGTCCTGCAGCCGGCCCCTGGAGCTGGCACTCCTGTCTGCATTCATGAACATGAAACAGGGCTGTCAGCAGCACTGGCAAACTGGGGAGGGCACTTTGCCCGGCACCTGCAGAGAGGTGCCTGGTCCTTTGGTGTGGCCTGGTGCTGAGAGGTGAAGCTGAGCTGGTCTGAGCTCTGTGGCTCCATCTCCACGGCTCCCGCCAGCTCAGGAGAGGGACTTCGGCCTTGGTGCTCCTCTTCATTCAACTGAAGAGCCAAATCCTGGCTCCAAACCCACCTGTGCCTGGTGAAGCCAGGCCAGGGAAGTGCAGGGTGAACACCTTGCTGACCTGAGGCACTGTGGCCCAGGGGGATGATGGCAGCAAGCCTTGCTGCAACTCACACGTGGCCACCCACGCTGGCTCTGAGCACAGTGGGAGGAAGATGTGATGGGCGTTGCAAGCAGCCCTTGCAGCCAAACAGGCATCTTTGTGACCTGCAACAACTCAGTTGCCCCCTGGCACTGTGACTGTGTGGGATGTTGTAGGGAAACACTTGACACCAGGGGATAGTCCATGGCTTTCAGACTGCTGGAGCCACTTCCCCTCCCTGGGGACAGACTCCCAGACACAGTGCAGGGAGCACAGCCCACTGAGGCTCTTTTCCCCTGAGATGGCCCTGGTTGGGCACTGCCAGCCCGGGTCAGTGGTGGGACCATGGGCAGAGCCCCCATGGGCTATGACATGTCCTTGGGGAATGAGCAGGTGGCAGCTCCCAAGCCAGAAAGTGGCTTCATCTCTAAACAGAGAAAGCTGCTGGCCCAGGCACACACGTGGTCACCAGGTCCCCTCCCAGCCATCCCCAGAAAGAGCCATCTCTGCCATCTGCTCAGCTCACACCCGAGCGGGGTGACCTCGGGGCTCCTGGTGACTGCCTTGCCGGGGCAAAACCCTCTCGCCGCCCTGGAGCCTCTTCCCTACCCACTGCTGCCAGCAAGATCCCAGCCTGGGGGAACGAACACGACCCTGGAAACCTCTGCCTTATCAGTGGACTGAACAAAACCCCAGCCAAGAGCGAGGAGCAGCCCCCGTGCCCGCGGAGCGGCGAGCCGGGCTCTGCTCGCTCCCCCCGGCGCCGTGCGGGGCTCCGTGTGCGCCGAGCCATCCACCAGCCTATAAATCTCCTGGCACGGCTCTTCCCAAACTTCAGGACGTTCCCCGGGGGAAGAGTTAAGATGCAGGCTGTGCGTCAGCGGCCGCAGCGCGCTGCCCGCCGGGGCTGAGCCGAACCTCCCGCATCTGCCCCGGCAGGTTGGGTCGTGCGGGTCAATCCCAGCGCTCCGCCGCTCCTGGCTCAGTCCTCACGGTACGTAGTCGGGGGAGCATCCTCCTCCCCGCTGCTCCGGGAAAGGCTGGCAGGGATGCTCGGAG